CATTTTTTACGACATTGCAGAGTGCTCAGATACTCTCTGCGCCATCTATACCAGAACTCATCAGCCAGCACTTGAACACGTTTCCACTGGCATTTCAACATATCTCCTGCATTGATGTCACTGAGGGGAGAGGAATGTGTGCCTGTTTTCTGGGTTAACAGCATAGACGGCGTTAGAATGTAAGGGTTCTCAGGGTCAGTGGAGACAGGTATCAAAGGACGTGCATTCATTATGGCTGTGACCTCAGCTAAGAGAGTAGTTAACACTTCATGAGTAAGTCGTGCTCTACCAGCTTGCAACAACATACCATCCAAAATGCGACGTGCTACTCCAATCATGCGCTCCCACACTCCACCCATGTGTGAAGAGTGCGGAGGATTGAAGATCCAAGTGCACTTCTGGTCTTGTAAGAATTCCTGCACACTGTCCTTTTCAGGAGCACTTATTCCCATTTCGTTACATGCACCAATAAAATTGGTGCCGCAATCCGACCGTAATTGCTTGGCTGGGCCACGCAGTGAAAAGAAGCGTCTCAGAGCATTAATGAAGCTCGAGGAACTCATTTCTTCCACTACTTCTATGTGAATTGCCCTCGTGCATAAGCATGTAAACAGCACTGCCCATCTCTTACAGCATGCATGACCTCCCCTTGTGCGCCTTGCTGTCACCTCCCATGGCCCGAACATATCCATTCCAACATATGAGAAAGGAGGGTCTACTTGGAGTCGTTCTGCTGGCAGATCGCTCATCTGCTGCTCCTTTACTTTCCCTCTAAGTCTCCTACAGGTAACACACTGATTAAGGACTCTACTGATGAGCCTCTTTCCTCCCACTATCCATAGACCACTAGCTCTCACTGCTCCTTCGGTAAAATGCCTTCCCTGATGTTTAACCCTTTCATGGTAATGTCTTATGAGAAGAGTTGATATATGATCCCCTTCAGGAATGATGACAGGGTTTTTCTCTTTCAATTCAAAACCTGCACGGTGAATCCGTCCACCAACTCGGAGTAGACCATCACTGTCAATGATGGGATTCAGCTTAATGAGTGAGCTTTGTTTAGAAATGTTGCAGTTTGCTTGGATGCGCTTAAATTCCTCTGAATATACTTTCTGCTGCACACTTCTAATAATTTCTCTTTCTGCTCTTTCCAGAGAATCCACAGAAATACAGTTTTTGCAGATGTGCCAACCAGCACATTCTCCAACCTCTGTTGTGTGGGCGAAACAGTAAGCAATGTGACTGAGACGAGCTACAGCCTTGACAGCGGACTGCCATCTGGAAAAACGTTCCCATCGTTTTGAGCTCAGGTTATTTTCAGAAACACTTGTAGACAAAGTACTCACCTCCGGTCGAAGTTCTTTGTCATCATTTGGATGAACTAGATCGAAACTGATTTGCTCCTCTGGAGCCCAAAACAGTTCACCATGAAGGAAAGGAGGCCCTGTCAGCCATGTGGTACTGAGGAGCTTGGAAGCTGGAACAGAGCGTGAACCATGATCAGCCGGATTTTCGTCTGATGGCACATAATGCCACTGCTCAGGTTTTGTGAACTGCTTAATTCTTTGCACTCTGTTATTTACATAGATGTAGAAGCGTCGAGACTGGTTGTGAATACAACCCAAGACAACTTTACTGTCAGTATAGAAGCTAATTGAATTTAATTCCATTTCTATTTCTTCACTTATGACTTCTGCAATCTCTACGGCCATTACTGCTGCACACAGCTCCAGCCTTGGAACAGTAAGATCAGGCCGCGGGGCAAGTCTCGACTTCCCTAGAACAAACCCCACTTCTCTAAGCCCGTCTTTGGCTACGACTCGGAGATATGCGACTGCAGAAATAGCTTTGACCGAAGCGTCTGAGAAGACGCATAGGTCCACACACTGAGCCTCAGAGAGAGACATTGATGTGTATGTGCGGGGTACACGAATTTCAGTGAGATTGTACAGAGAATTTTGCCAATCCATCCATCTTCCTTTGAAACTCTCAGGGAGGCTTGAATCCCAATCACTGCCTTGCACCATCATCTCTCTAAGCAGTAGCCGTCCTTGTATAGTTATCGGTGCCAGGAAACCCAGAGGGTCGAACAGACTGTTGACCATGGACAGCACCCCTCTTCGTGTATATGGTCTTTCCGTTTTTGGAATGTGAAATGTCAAGACATCTGTCATAATACTCCATTTTACTCCAAGACTTCGTTGATCGGGTAGGTTGTCTACAAATAGATTGAGATTCTGAAGGTCTTTGGCTCAATCTTCCATTGGAAATGCATCCAACACCTCAGCTTTATTTGAGGCCACTTTGTGGAGCTTAAGGTTTGAAGCAGCTAACATTCTCTGTGTTCTTGTGAGGATGTCAATAGCTTTCTCAACAGTTGAGAATGACTTCAGGGCATCATCCATGTAAAAGTCTCTTTCGACAAAGTGGTGCACATCTGTGCCGAATTCAACTTTTCCCTCTTGTGCCACTTTACGTAGCCCATAAATGGCCACTGCAGGTGAAGGGCTGTTTCCGAACACGTGAACCCGCATCCGATAATCAACAACCTCTTTCGCTGGATCATTGTCTTTATACCAGATGAAACGGAGAACATCTCTACAGTCCTCACGCACAAGGAAGCAGTGGAACATCTGCTGGATATCTGCTGTAATTGCTACTGGCTCCTTTCTAAACCTCAAAAGAACACCTAGCAGACTGTTGTTCATGTCTGGCCCAGTAAGTAGCACGTCATTGAGTGAAACACCATTAAACTTGGCACTAGAGTCGAAAACCACACGTATCTGATTATGTTTCTGAGGGTGGTACACTCCAAAAAAGGGCAGATACCAGTACTCTTTGCTTTCTTGCACTGGAGGAGCAAGCTCTGCGTGGTGGCTGTCTAATATTTTCTGCATGAATTCCATGAAGTGAGCTTTCATTTCTGGACGTTTCTCAAGTGTGCGGCTCAGAGACTTGAACCTACTCATGGCATAGGACCTGTTATTAGGCAAACACTGCCGTGGTTTTCGAAAGGGTAGTGGGGCTACCCAGCTGTTTGTAGAATCTTGGAAGAATTCATTCTCCATGGTCCTGAGAAACCTGATATCTTCTACAGAAGGTGCAAGTTTATTGTCATTCACGGACTGACAAAACACTGATTGGCCTACATCTTCTTTGTTGGCCTCTCTCAGAATATATTGACTATTTCCAAGAGATAAGTATTGCAAAGGAGACATGTACTTTTCTTTGACTGACACGTAGCTTTCACATGGGGGGAAATTACTTGGTCTGCCACTTTCAAGGGTGTATGTTTTCATACTAGTGACCTGTGAAGGCCGGTGAGCTTTCCCTAGACACACGTCCCCGATAATCACCCAGCCCAGGTCTAGCTTTTGTGCAAATGCTGCTTCATGTGGCCCAGTGATCTGTCTGCGGACCTTGTGAACTCTTAACAAGTCTCTGCCAATCAGCAACAAGATTTCAGCATTTTCATCAAGAGATGGTATTTCATGAGCAATTGACTTAAGGTGACAGTGACACGCTGCAACTGCCGGGGTAGGAATTTCATCCTTATTGTCCGGAATCATATTACATTCCAGTAGTGTTGGTAATGAAAGACTCAGAGTACCATCGACCGGCTCTATTGTGTATCCAACAGCTCGCCTGCCAGCAGTTTCAGTTACTCCAGAACAAGTCTTGAGCGTAAAGGGAACTGTAGATCCTGTATGTTAAACATATCAAAGAACTCTGATCGTGCAAGCGACCTATTACTTTGGTCATCTAGCATGGCGTACATTCTACTGTATTTTCTGGGATTACCATCTGGGTATACATTAACTAAACAAATTTTTGAGCAAGATTTTCCTTTTAAGCCCCCACCACATACCTCTGTGCATTTGGGTGAAACCTCAGTGTGAGATATCTCTTCCTTCTCCCCGCCATGCTGTTCAAGGGGAAGAGAGGGTTTGGAAAGCCATGGTGCTTGACCTGGATGAAGGGCTGAAGGGTGTTTGTCGCTTTGGCATTCGGAACACTGTACAACTGCCTTACAGTGTCGAGCCACATGTGTGTTAGATGCACAGCATTTGAAACAGATATTGTGTGCCCTCAGTATTCTTTTACGCTCATCAATCGCCATTTCTCTAAAGCCTCTGCACCTTTGTAGAGGGTGGGGTTTGCGGTGTACAGGGCATTGCTTATCTGGATCTTCAGCAGTGGGGGTAGGCTTAGGAGTGAGTGTGACATCTGTTTTTTGCACAGAGATTGCTTTACGAGCATAGCTTTGGCTCTCACTAAACTTGTCCCTTTTGTATATTGGCAGAGAGAATGACGTGATATGAAAACTGGGGTCATTGCGTGCTTTAGCTTGTCTGCGCAGAAACTCTGCAAAGAAAGAAAAGGGCGGAAAGGCAACTCTGTGTTCCTGCTTTTAGTGAGAGCCTTCCATCATCCACTTCTCTTGGAGTCCATACGGAAGCTTCTCTACTATGGGGCTCACTCCCCTAGCCGTATCAAGATACGACAGCCCCGCGCCATGCTGTTCAAGGGGAAGAGAGGGTTTGGAAAGCCATGGTGCTTGACCTGGATGAAGGGCTGAAGGGTGTTTGTCGCTTTGGCATTCGGAACACTGTACAACTGCCTTACAGTGTCGAGCCACATGTGTGTTAGATGCACAGCATTTGAAACAGATATTGTGTGCCCTCAGTATTCTTTTACGCTCATCAATCGCCATTTCTCTAAAGCCTCTGCACCTTTGTAGAGGGTGGGGTTTGCGGTGTACAGGGCATTGCTTATCTGGATCTTCAGCAGTGGGGGTAGGCTTAGGAGTGAGTGTGACATCTGTTTTTTGCACAGAGATTGCTTTACGAGCATAGCTTTGGCTCTCACTAAACTTGTCCCTTTTGTATATTGGCAGAGAGAATGACGTGATATGAAAACTGGGGTCATTGCGAGCTTTAGCCTGTCTGCGCAGAAACTCTGCAAAGAAAGAAAAGGGCGGAAAGGCAACTCTGTGTTCCTGCTTGTAGTGAGAGCCTTCCATCATCCACTTCTCTTGGAGTCCATACGGAAGCTTCTCTACTATGGGGCTCACTCCCCTAGCCGTATCAAGATAAGACAGCCCCGGCAGGTATCCTTCTTGCTTTGCAAATTCTATTTCAGAGAGCAAATCACTTAATTCCATAAGCCTTTGGTGTTCTTTGGGAGCAATTTTGGGAAATTTTTCCAGTTTTGCAAACAGAGCTCCCTCTATTGCTTCTGGTGACCCATACATTTCTTCTAGCCTCTTCCATATATATTAAATCTAACCCATAAGCGGGGTTCCTCACGTTTACTGACTTAATACGGCGAGCATGCGGTGCTGAATCTGGACCTAGCCATTTAATTAGCAGATCCATCTCCTCCCCTGCCGTCAGATCCAATGCTTCAACTGTACTAAGGAATGATGATTTCCATGCTAGATAATTTTCTGGTCTATCATCAAATCTTGTTAGGCCTGATGACACCAGTTGGCTTCTTGCTAAATATTTCGCCAAGTCTGCTGAGGAGTTATCACCAGAACGGACTGGGTAATGACTTGGTTGGTTGGTTATGCCAGCATAACTAGGCACAGCATTACATGATGAGTGGTTGAAGGCATTAGGGTGATTGGCATGTGAATTATCTGTGGGAACAGTGGGCTTTGGACGAATCTGTGGTGATGAGTTATTTTCTATCCCCTTATCTACAGATAAGTTAGGTGCTTCTGCTTGTGGCATGCTGACATTATGTGCTTGATTGTCTCTGGGTAAATGCATGCTCCCACTACTAGCACTGTGTTTACTCATATAGTCGAGAGTGCGTTGTCGTGTACTCTGCTCTGGGAGGAACTGAAGGCTGTGTTTACTTCCCGACTCTAAGTGTGCAGCTGCAGCTTCCATTACAACCGCTTTGGCTAGTGCCGCTTCTGCTTCTCTCTCTCTCTCCAATGCATTTAAAGTGGCTTCTAAGCGGGCCTTCTCAGTTTTGATTTCTATTTCTTTATTTGAAAATGAAGCTCGAGCCAAAGCAGCCTCAGCTTCCGCACGTGCCTTAGCTGCCACCATACTGACTTTGAAATTGCGGAGGACCTAGTGGAGCGGTTTGACCTTGCTGAATGAGAAGTCTTAGCTGAACAGGAGGCAACAGACCGCACATCTAGCTCTGAATGCTCCATATTCATTGGCTGACTTTAAAGTCTCTGGTAGGTGTGATGAGCATGAGGTATCCACCTCAACTAAGGAAACTTACTGTTGGTGTCATGTTTGCATGGGCGTCATTGCTCACAATCCAGCACGGACATCCAGATTCTTGCTGATAGCTCCCTTTTCACTGTACTGGCCTCGTTGAACCCACATTCAATTGTCCAGCAAGTTAAACACCTTCACGCAATAACTCCCGGAACCACGAGGTGACGTTGAGAGTGTAACTTTATCACATGAATGGTGTGAAACTGAAAATACAAATACATACACTGATAAATTGCATATTCTATAACAGTTCTCTATATTACGTATGAGCATAACCAATTCTTATAGTGATTACTCAACTCAACCAATGAATTCACTATACTTTCAAAAATATATTAACTTATAAAATAATATCACATGTGAAAGATGAGAAAATATACACCGCATCAGCAAGCATAAACATGCCATTCTAAATAACATCAAATAGGCATCTCTAACTACACAAAATGCACTGAACACAATCATGAGTAATGACAAACAAGATGACTTACAGGGAATGCCTTATTAATAACTTTGAACGGAGGATATCTTTGGATTAATGAATGCCCATAACATGAACGATCTCTGCCTCTGATTCAGTCTCTTTTTGATGACATCACTAATTATATAGTCTTTTACTGATGAGGTCACTTTCTAATTTCTTGCTCTACCTCATATGACCACAAGAGGTCGCTTGGCTACATGATATCACACCTGGAAATTCCAGGACATTAGGCAAAAATCTGTATGTAGTGTGATCATCTGGACTCCTTCCAGTTTTTCAAAGAAGAAACTCTCCAGAAGTTCCTTCTGTTGCTCAAGTGTAAAGGGGGTCACGCCAAATACTTGCCACTTTAGCCTATAGAAGCTGTTTTTCTTTTTTTTACTGATTTTTAATATGGCATACAAAGTTACCCAGGTGAAAAAGAAATATATTTAAATTGTGCTTTTTCAGACATACTTACTATATTTAAATTATACTATACTAAGTGCATATTAAATGTATTATTTTGAAACAACTTTAAGTATACTAAGTGTATTTCAAGATATGCTTAAGTTGGATTTTAATCTATTTGTAATATATTTAATATATTGAAATTGTGTTAAAATGGAACCACTTTAAGTATATTTAGTGCAATTTAAGTGTATTTCTTAAAATACATTTAAAATGTCAATGGAGGGTGATTTGGTCAATCTTGGAAGAAAAATGTTAGCAATGTGTCCATTCCAGCTGGCTAATTTGTGCTTGCTTTCAGTCATTCATGTAAAAATCTGTTATTTAATTTTGTTTCTGTTTTGTTTTTTTCTAAAGCTGCAAGGCTCTGGTGCAAAATATTGTATGCCAGGAGTCAGGACGACTAGGCTGTGCCCAGGTCTCCGGAACCTGCGACGACGCTCAGCTCCATCAGCGCCTTCGGATCCACCAGCTCTGTCTCCATCGGTTGGCCCCCAGATGTTGGCAGCCACACCATCTACATCTTGGCTCCTCGCTGCCTCGATTCCGCCGTGTGTTGTCAGCACTGGTCAAAGTATATATGCTGCTGTCCTTTTTTAGTGTACTTTATGAATATTTGTAATGTACACAACAATATATAATACATTAAAGTTTTCTAGATATCAAAGTGTGTACGTGTGTGTGCATATACTGAAAAAAGCAGCTTTATAATATACTAGTACTGTAATGCTAATGCATTTCCAATGAACTGATATACAATTGAAATGTACTTGAAGTACATTAAAACGATGCTTCAAATATACTCTAACTGTAGTTCATGAAGTATTAAAAGGACATTTTAAATGTATTTTAAGAAATACACTTAATATACTTAAAGTTGTTTCAAAATAATACATTTAATATGCACTTAGTATAGTATAATTTAAATATAGTAAGTATGTCTGAAAAAGCACAATTTAAATATATTTCTTTTTCACCTGGGTAATGTATTTTCTTGATGTTTTACAATTAAGAGGCTGAGAAAAAAAATTATATATGGTCTTTATAGCATTGCTAAAACATCAAATGGTGGCCTAAGACTTTTGCCCGATACTATGTATATAAAACAAACAATTTCTAGACATTCACAGTACATTGTGGACTTATAGACATTTAGTGATACTTTGAGATGGTGACAACATTCATAAATTAATTTAAATATAAAGTGATGAATATTTTGTGAATATGTCTGGCATAATGTACAAAAAAACCACACTTTAAAACAGTAGTTTTATTACTGTGTATCTGACTTTGAAATGCATACAGACCACATAATGGAATGTCATGGAGGGCTACTGCTCTGTAGGGTTTAGTTCCAACACACCTGTCTGTAATTTTCAAATAGTCTGTTATTAATTGGTTTGATTAGCTTGTTCAGGTGTGTTTAATTAGGGTAGGAAAAAGTCTGCAGAGCAATGTCCCTCCATGACCTAAGTTGAACTTGAGACTGCTTGCTCAAACTGCCTTAAGTTTTGCATGAGCTACACAGAGTAACATAGTGATTAAAGATTTAGTTTACCCAACCATATAAATTCAATCAGAATTTACTTTATGTTGTTTGATGTGTTTTTCCCCCTATACACAAGAGGTGAATATCAGTCAATGGACTTTGAGAAGCTTCAAAAGCATCATCAAATAAGTCAGAAAGTCAGGCTCCATTGACTGATAATGTATGAACAGAAAACAGTAAACAATAAAAAAGAGGGATTGAACAACATGAAGGCAGGTAAATAATGACTGAATTTATGTTTAGGTCAACTAACTTTTTAAGCCCCCAAATAGAAACCGTATGCATGCATTTATATTATAGTAGTACCTTGAAGAAATAAACAGCTTTAGAAAACAAAAGCTTTATAGAGAGTTTGTGCCCAAGACACTTTCAAAAAAGGTTTTACTAAAATCATTTAGATTTCTGCATTTATCAGAAACTTTTATCCAAAGTGACTTACAGTGCTCTTATTACAGGGAACCCCAATGCCCCTGGAGCAACCTGGATAAAAGAGCCTTGCTCAAGGACACACTGGTGGTGATGGCTGCAGAGATTGAACCAGCAACATTTCTGCTTACCAGTTCAGCAGTTTAGCTCACTACACCACAAAAGTAATAAAGCTACACCACAAATTAGACTGTAATTGTAAACATATGAAATTAAATTAGGCAAGAAATGGAATGCTGATGATATGAATTTTAAAATGTTTTAATTTATTTAAACGTTTTATAGGTAGTCATGCTCACGGAGAGCAGGCACACAGATGTTTGGAGCAGACACAGCAGCTGCCATATTGTCCCGCACGTGATCTCCCACTCTTGCCTGAGGGTTGTGGGGTTAAGGGGGGCCGTCATCATAGTCTTCCTCATTCTCTGCCTCAATGATGTCCCCATTGAGAAGAGCGAGATTGTGAAGCACTGCGCAGCACGCAACAACATCAGGCACAAAGGCAGGGCTGATCTCTAAGGCCTTGAAGAAAATAGAGCGCCAGCGCGTCTTCATCATCCCGAAAGCTCTCTCAACGATGTTCCAGGTATGGGAGTGCTTGCTGTTGAAACGAGCCTGCACAGGGTTCTGTACAGGCTCTCTGTATGGGGTGATGAGGCAGATGGGTGCACTTCTCTGGCGGTGGGTACCGGTGGGTACAGGCTGCCAGTATACACAGGACTGTTTCTCAACACCCTGGCATCATGCATAGACCCAGGATATCCCACAAAAATGTCAATAAATTTCCCCCGGTGATCAGTGACGGCCTGGAGTTGGATGGAGTGAAACAACTTCCTGTTGTAGTAACTGTGGGAGTTCTTTGCTGGAGGTTTAATTCGGATATGATAGCCGTCTATTGCACCAACTGTCCTGTTGAAAGCTGGTGACCCAGCCAGCTGTGCAATTCCTGCTCCCACTACTTCCAGATCATCACTGGTTGGAAAGCTAATCATCCTCCTCAAAATTCCCAGGACTGCTTTGCTCACTCTGTGCACAATATTATGCACAGAGGTCTTGGGGATATAGAAGGTCTGTAACACTACCTTGTAGGATACTGCATGGACCAGCCAGTAGAGGAACACAAGCACCTCGATGTCCCTTTCCCTTCCATAGTCAGATTCCAGTCTGAGTGCACCAATGAGGGACCTGATGGACGGCAGAGACAGGCGAAGGTGGGCACGGTGGTCAGCTGCTTCATCCAATAAAGTCGCAGGATCTGGACAGCTGTGTTTGGATGGCAGTAGGATGTGGGGTTCACCACCTGTAAATATGTGATAGTTACAACAATAAATTTGAATAAAGCATTGTTTCATGTGTTGACTAGTATTCATTTACTGTGATGCTTAGTTTTATTCAGTCATTTACTAATTGTTGTTCATGTTTCCTATTGTTGTCTAAATAATATATAATTGCATTAATGAATGCATTAATTCATTGCTTGGACTGAAAATTTATGTATTCACATTGGTTGAATTTGTCTAGTATTCATGCATAGTTATTTCATATAACAATACAATGAAGTTACATGTTTGCTTGTTTTACTAAAATATAAAAATTTCAGTAAGAAAATATGCAATATAATTAACTATTGGCCAGCATTTATCATTTTTACGAAAGTGTTGGGGTGAGCTAGCAATGCAATTAATCTTGGGCTAATTTGAAATTTTAAGTATTGATACTTCGAGTGTAAAATCAACAGTCTTCTCCAAAGGCGAGATCTTCGAGCAGCTGCCCGACGTCTCCTTTGTGAAGACAATATTGCAATCATTTTGTTCAAGAAAACTGTACAAGGTGGTATGGTTGTCGTGCTACTGATGAAATCAAGTGTTAGTGCACCTGTCAGTCATATCTTTTAAATTGTTCTTGAAGGTGCCAGTGTATTGTCTGTTTCTCAGGAGATCAAAGTATCTGAGTTTCCTGAGTTTCTTTTATCCTTACAGTTGCGCTTGGTATAACGTCGCAGGTCACATGATAACGTCAACACAGATTCATCACCCATGTGAGTAAGCCGTACAGTAGGTGGCGGTAATACTCCTAAGTAGTGAATGGCCATTGAAGAAGAAGAAGAAGAAGATAATGTCAACATGGCGGATGAAGTCCGGATCTCATTCATACTTAACGAGATTTGGCTGTAGAGTACGTACTCTTTTAGCGCTTGTTAAGTAAGTACTTATTGAACTTAAGTACCTACTCATTGAGTATGCGATTTCGAACGCAGCCTCTGTGAATATGTAAGTGATTGTTTAGTATTAGTGATGAACACCTGCTGTTAACAAGCAGAATCACTGAGGTAAAGAGGACCAAGAACAGAATACTGAAAAGAGACGAATGGAAACACAAGAACTACAACTGACTTCCAGCCATTACACATTATTACACTTATTACTAACCAGTTTGACTTTATTTCTGTCATACAGAAGCTCTTATTGAGAATTAACAGAGGTTCAGATGTTTGTGTTTTATTGAAAATGTTTGGTCTGAATTACCGTTTTGGTGGTCAGTGTTTGCTTCAGTTGGGCTCCTGACCCTTGACTTTTTAATATCAGCTATTTCTCTGGATGTTATAATTGTGGTTGTAAAAAACATTTATTACAGCAAAAGAAGAAAAAATAAGATGACTAGTGAATGCTGATTAAGTCCATCATGAAAAAAACAATTGCACCACAAAAGAAACACACAGATGTCAAAAAATCAGTATATGAATCACAGCAATGGTAGCAATTACAAAAAAAAGATAAACTCTTAATATCACAACACAGACTACAAAAAGTCACAATAAAAACACCAGCAAAATAATACATGCAAATAAAGAAAATTGTAAGTGCATGCTGGGAGTTAAATTTTATGCTGGCACCCAGCATGCATTGCGGAATTAAACTTTTGTCACCATTGTTGAGATTCCTGTGCTGATTGTTAATGTCTGTGAGGGTCTTCTTAAATTCTTAAAAATTATTGATTAGTGAGAAATTGTTTAGTCTCATGCTGCAGAATCACAGAACTACTACAATCAATAAAACACCCATGTGATTAAAGATTAAACACTGGTTCAGATCAGAGATTCAGATGAGTCCACTATAATTACGGCATCATCATAGGATAACCAAAATCAACTGATAATTTCTTTGCGCCGTAACAAATGCACTTTTTGAACACACAGTTACAGCAGACAGAAAATGTCTCAAGGTTCAAGGGCACAACTAAAGCAAACACTGACCTCCATAACGCTAACTACAAACTTTATTATTTTCAATAAAACTTTTATAATTTTCAATAAAACTAAACTGGTTTCACACTCGGTGTGAAAGGGTCTTAAAGCTGAAGCAGGAAGTCAGTTGTTGTTCTTGTATTGCTGCTTGTTTCTTTGTCCTTGAGTGATTCTGCTTGTTATCATCAGGTGTTCATCAGTGTCTGAATTCACTTTTAAAACAATTTAGCAACATGCTAGCAACATGC